GGCTGCGGCTTAAGAAATTACGGCTTTCTTTAGTAGTGATCTGCAAAATTATAATAGCAATCATTCTTTTCGAATTATCTCCGCTCCTATTGGTCCAATAACCTTGTTTTTATATTCGTTAGAAAGCTCTTAATGAGATAGTTCTAATGATCATATTTCCATTGAAATGTAATCATTAGGTCGAAAGTTATTTTATTTAATAATATGTAACTCTGATTATCTGAATAAATTATTTTTTATTTTAAACTTTTTGTAATCATATATAATCTTTGAAAAAAAATAAGCAGATTACTTAGTAGTATCACTGGCGTATTAGAATGATTATTCAGAAACTTTTGCAAAGAACTGATGCCACTCGAGATACCTGAACCTTCCAAATCACCAGAACTAGAAGAAGGGTCAGAGGCAGAGTCAGAGGGGGAAAGCGAATATGAGACTACTTTAACATACCAAAATACTGATATAAGATGATATTCAGCAATTCAGAGATTTCTATTCTGGAAAAGTAAGACTTTTATATCGAGTTCTATGATAGATCTATATAATGGATTGATTCTGAAAATGACTCCTATGATTTATCTCAAGACTGGTTTTTAATCAAAGTCAAATCCAAATGAGTCACTCCAAAAAGCATATAAAAGATATAACGAAAAAGCCAGTATAATCTCATGGCAGAGTAAAGGACAGATTGATTTATGAAAAACTAATACATATGCTATGATAAGTTTGCATTTCTTTCAAGATGTCTCTAGAGCTCCTAGAAAAGCAAAATACTTATCACATGAAGAAAATTATTGGTTAAAATCAACCTACATGAGAGGATTAATATGTGCTAAACCTTATGAAGGAATTGTGACTAAATTAGATTACAATAAATATTACCTACATATCTTAGCTTATAATAGTGTATGCTGGCCAGTAGGATCAGGAGAATTTAGAACAATCTCACATATTAGAACTGATTTTATCAAAAATAACCTAAAGTACAGAATTTATCGTACTTACATAGAGGACTAGTTTGTGAATTAAAAATGTATAAGGATATTTCTTTATAATCCAGAAGAATATTACACTCACTATAACATACTGTTAGCAAAAAATCTAGGTCTTAACATAGAGTTATCCTCTGAAAGTTCTAATGCACTAATATTTAAGCATCTTATGAATAGAAGAGATATTTTCTATCAATAGGCAAGTTATCTAATAGAAATCAAGAAAGAAGATGAACAAGTAGTAAAAGTGACCAAGCATATATTAGTATCACTTTGGGAATAGTTATTCTTAGATGAGCGAAGATCAGGTCCTCATCGATGTATGCTACCTTTTATCTTAGCAAAGAGATGCAAAATTATATCAGAAAAAATTAGATTACTAGGAAATCATATAAAGCGTATCCACACAAATGGTTTTATTATTCAGATAAAAATACTGAAAAGCTGTTAGAAAGTTATATAGGTAAGAAGAGTAATCTAAAAATTGCAAAATCAGGCATCGTAACAATAAAAAATGTAATGAATTTAAAATGGGTTAATTTTGAAGAAATAATTCCTTCGGCAACTGTAAAATCAGAAAAATCTTTCATCTGTTTCATATCTTTGCCAAATGAGATTCTCAATAGAATTTTTCAATATCATAGAAAAAATGAAGGTGAAAAATTGTACCCTCTTTTAATAGTTAATAAGCAATAGCACTATATCACTAGAAGACTAATATGGCAAAAAATAGTCCTAACAGGTATTTACAGGATCAAGTTCATAAAGACATTAAGCAAAGATACAAAGTCAGATACTTGTTTACAAGTGTTAAGTCTAAAATTTATTGGAAAAATAAATATAGAGCCAGATGATTACATTTCTGAAGTATGTAAGGCATGCCTCAATTTACAATGGCTAAGTTATGAAAATAGTGGGTCACATATATTTAACAATGAAAATCTAGAAGCACTTCTAATTGAGTACCCCAATTTAAAAAGACTTATGATAAGAGGTTCTAGACGCATAAGCCCAAAAACATTTTTAAAAATTTCAGGGCTGGCTCCTAGTTTAGGAACGATAGAATTAGGAGATGTTTACAGATTGGAAAGAATATAATATCTGATTTCCAAAACTTATACCCAAAAATAAAACTCATATTTGAAGAGGAATAGCTCAACGATGAGTAGGATTATTATCAGGAAAGTTGAGATAAACATTTTTTTTCTAGCGCAATATATAAAATATAATACTAAAAATGGCTTATAGAATGTAAAATTTGGCATTTCCAAGGTGATGATGATAGACATCAGAAAACTCCTATAAATAATATGTATAAGGAAAGTATACAGAAATAATACGTTTAAAAAACGTATAATAAACATAGATAAACAGTATAATAAATATGTAAATATTTCCGTATACTAGATACTGAAAATTGACTTTTCTGTATGCAGAAAAATACGAAATTTATACGTCTAATCAGTATATTGTATATGTAATTTTACATAGATTTTATACGTCTAATCAGTATATTGTATACGGAATTTTGCATATATTTTTACGTCTAATCAGTATATTGTATACGTTATTTTTGGTTGAATTTTTACATCTAATCAGTATATTGTATACGTTATTTTTGGTTGGGTTTTAACATATAAACATTAAATTATATACACATTTAATCATT